TTTTTCTTTTCACTTTCTTTTGGTCCATTGGAAGCAGGGGTAGTGGCTAAAACATCCATGGTCAGCCTCAAACCTAAATCTAAGAGCTTGAGGTATCTATCTAAAAGGTTTCCATCACTATATTTAAACTACTGATTCTTCCTTTTATGCTTAACCTATCCCTAAATTAAGACAGCCTTGTTCATAAGCAGAACAGGTACTATTAAATTCATACACACACACACACACACACACACACACACACACACACACACACTCACGCACCCTGAGGTAACTTCAAAGAGATAAAGTAACTTTTCCAAAAATGAGGTCTGGATATGATGGCAGGCTGAACATGGAATTCAAGACTCCCAGCTTCTGGGTCAATGTTTTTTGTTTTTTGTTTTTTTTTTTTAAATACTATGTACCTCTTCTATAAAGAAAATGATGTCTCTCAAGATACACAGAACCTACACCTCAAAAGTAAGGATGCATGCACCCTTCCGATGACTCTCTACTACCAATAAGTCTCCTGAGAATAGCCACGAAAATAGCTAGTGTAGTCCTGTTCCCAAGAAAACACCTACTGAACGTTAACTGCGAACTGAACTCTGCCAATTCAACACACCAAATCTCAGATCCTCAAATCATATTTTTGTTTAACCTCCACTGTCCAGTTAAGGGAAACATAAAAATGACAAATTTTAAAGCCCTCTTCTTTCTCCTCGTACACTAATGGTTCTAAAGTACGATCTGCTACTGATATGAGAAACAGCAGTAGCATCTGGGAATTTGCTAGAAATACAAATTTCTCAGGCCCCACCCTAATACCTACGTATCATAATAAACTGCTAATGAAAACAGCAGAGCTCTTCATTTCCTTATCACTGTCTCTGATATGAAGTAAAGGTCCCCTACAATTCAAGTCAGTGCCCTAGAGAGCAACAGAGCAACAGTAATTGAAGATTATTTTATTCCTTGAGTTCAATACTTGTCTCTTTATTTTATCTCGGGGATGTCAGGCCCCGAAATCTGTATTTTCATAAGCCTTCCAGGTATTTCTCAAGCACACTAAAGTTTGAGGATCTCTGTTCTAGACTACCAGTGTCTGAACCACTGTTCTCTGCTATGTTGTATACAAACTCTTCATTCCCTGTCATTTTAAGAATGTCTTCTCCATACTATATTAATCTGACTGCTAAATTTGTACTTCTAATGATAAATTTACTTTTGCCTTGTCTCATGTTCCATGAGTTGTGGATCAGGTGGAGCTAGCATTGATTAAATGCTATAATTTAATAATTACCTAAACTATCATGTTTCGCTGACTTCCGATCTTCAAATTTCACTTGAAAAATATACTTTGCCCTTCTTATTCCTAAATAATATATTTTCTAATTAGTAGTGAATCTTACAATTCAGTAGTAATGCTTTATGAACAGCTATATGTATAGTTTTTGTATCCTATGATTTCTTTAAACAAAAACCCTAAAAATTCAGGATACATTTCCTAATGTTATACATTTTAATCATTTGATACTTATTCTTTTCCCTAGTTCCTACAGCTTACTCTGCAAAGTCAATGTGCCAACAGGTAGATATCTTCTATTCCTTTTTCTTCCCTCTACTGTCTGGTAAAAAAAAATGATAGAATGCTAAGAATTTTTAAAAAGAAAGTAAATGAATTCTGTGTCTCACTCTGCACAGATGCCCTGAACTCAAATTTCCCAAAGGAGAAAGGAGAAATTCAAAATGAAATAAGGGTCACAAAATATATAATAAAGGTTTAAGAAATCAGGATGTGTGCAGAGCAAAGTCAGATGGCCTGTTCTGCAGAACTCTGGATGATGTGGTGAGAAATGAAAACACTGGGGCTAAGTTTTAATCTAGAACATGCAACTCCAACCCGTCTGCACCTGCGACAAAGATGTGCCTGCTTGTTTGAAGTAAGAATCTGACAATTAGTCATCTATGTAAAACCTTTCACAAATTGATGGTAAAGAGAAAGAATTTTAGTGAAGTACACAAAACAATGCAGATTTTGAAAATGTTAGTATTGAAAATTTGATTACAGGACAGAATACCCTTGGGTTTGCTTTTTTTTTTCCAGGCAAACATATTAAAAGGGAAAAAAGCCTTCTAAGTTTAAAATAATATATTTGAGATATCTACAGACATTATGCCAGACAACAATAAGGTTTTCAAATAGATAACCTGTCAGGTCAATAAGAACAGTGCAGCAGGAACCATGTCAATGGATTTAGACTAGACTGGAGGCAAACCCAAGGGCAACTTATTTGTTTTTAAGTGCCAAATGAGAAAGACAAAGTTGGAAGAAGTCAATGGGAAGAATGAAAAGAGACTATTAGATACCACTATAAAAACCTGCCCAATTTAACAAAACTTGTCCATATACTTGGAATGCAACAGAGAAGTTAATAGTCTCTAAAGTTGTATTAAGAAAAGACAAGACTCAGGAGAAATGTTCAAAATCAAAATTCTAGTCCTTAACAATTAAAAGCGAACATGGATTATGGAGTGGATTCAGGTTGGATGTAACATTTAAATAACTATCATTACTAAAACATTTTCAGCATAAAGCCTAGACAGAACAGTGTTTTGTGCTTATAACATATTATCATTAATCTATTTCCTGTGGCCATCCTGGTAGGCAGGTAAGTACCTAGAAATGGAAAGCAAAACAGTTCTACATCAAACAATTATAAGGGCTGTGTTCATTTTTACAACTGAACAAAGAAGGCTTCCCAGTTAGTCAAATACCAAAAGAATCACAAACCAAAATACTATAGTTTATACCAATGTGATGGCAATTAGTACATAACTCTACACATTACAACCGTCAAGAACAATTCAACTCTGTATCAAGGTAAGGATGACATGTATCTAATCAAACAAAACATAGTACCTCTGTGTGTTTGATTCTGAATGGGAACATCTTTTAACACTTAAGTCACTAAGAGCTCTGGGGACGGAGGGTAACAAAATGATAATATTTAACTTTCAAATATTTGCAACTCATACAGAATGGCTCTATTTTTGGACCAAAGCCAGTATGTTTCATTACTTTTTTGATCAAAGAGGATTTGCAGTAGGAAGCAACTAAAAAAACTTTCAAAATACTTGCAAAGAAGCTATGCTGAGTTCTTTTAATCTTGCTTTAAAAATTATAGCAGGTACAAATGGAGAGAAAAAACAGGTTTGCTACCACTGTTCTCAGTAAGAGGCATTTTTTCCTCTCCTCTCTCAATATTCTTTGAAAAATGCTGTCCACATATTCAACCCTCAGGAAATAAACACAATACTAAAAAACAAACAAACAAAACCACCTTATGAAAAGCTGAAGGAAAAATTAATGATAGAAAAATTTATGGAAGAAGAATAGACAAGGTAAGATCTTTAAGGGTAAATGGGTGAACTTTCTAATAAATCTTGTCCAAAACAGTTATACATTAGAAGGGAGAAAAGCATGCGATCAGTCCTTAATTAAAGAAAAGAAGGGTACCCAGGATTCAGAGCAATGATAGGGCACTCCCTAAATAACCTATCATCAAGCCCGGTTTGCTTAAAAAGGATGACAGGTATGATTCTCAACTTCATGTATTTAGATAAATTTTCCACTGGAAAGGAATTAGTAGGAGGAATATTTTGTTGTTCAAAATAAATGACTGATTTAAATCCTTTCAAATATTCTCCCTTTCCAGTGTTCCTTGTCCGGATCCCTCGACTAAGAGTTCATGTATTTTCTTACTCTATGTTAATGAAAACGAAACACATTGATTGTTAGAATCTTACTAGATTTCCATTTGTTTTGCCTCAGCTCTACATTAATCCAAACAATAAGGGCCTTTAAAACATTCATAAATAACCTGCTGCTGCTGCTGCTGGCACCTAGGAGCCAAGTGCAGCAATGTTAAGCAACAACAAATTTCATAGTTCAAGAGGCACAGTTAAGGAAAAAAGGTTGCTAAGAAAATCACTCTTATTTAGCACAAAGATCCTTAAAAATTGCATGAAATCAGTCAAGTAACTATAGAAACCAATTTCTTCAGCTCCATATCACACGTCTCACACCTCAATTGTCTTTATTATCATCTGCTGTCAGATCCTTAATCAGAAATGTGAACAGGCTTGATGATTTATTCAGGAGAGAAAAGAATCTGTAGGTCAAGTGAAAAATTTCACACACACACACACACACACACACAATCTTGAACCTTAGGTACTTTCATTTCATTCTGTTCTCAGCTGCTCTGGGGGCAACTCCAGTGAGATCCAATATTAAGGCTCAATTAAAATAAGCTCCAATTAGTGGAGCTTTTTTCTCTGGGGCTAGAAAAGTCAGGAAATGGATATTGGGAAATGTAAAAAGTCAGCTACTGAGAGGAGGCTGCAGACATAAATGAACTTATTTGTTGATTTCTACAGTTGCTATGCAGAGGCCTCTGGGAGTAAAAGCTTAACCAGTCTAAGCTATAAACTAAAACCCCTGCAGCTAAACATGAACTGTGTGAAACAAGGGCTCCATTCCAGAACAGAAAACTGCTGGGCCCAGAAAATTAAAAGCCAGAGGCGTTTTCCATTTAAAACTAAATCCCAGTACCGCCTCCCAGCCAAAGAATTATAAGCAGTATCAGATTTACAAAACGAACAATTACCCTGGAAAAATGTAGCCTATTGTACAGTCCCAGATGCTAAATCTCAAAAGTTTCTTTCTTTTTTTTTTTTTTAATCCCACATTATATTCCTCTAAGTACACTGCTGTAGTTTACAAAAAGCCATTTCTAGACAGGCCTAAGCCTTGAAAATAAATTTTAAAAAGAGAGCGCATAACTCATTGACCTCATTTGAAGTACTGCCCTTGCCTTTAGCAGTTCCTGTCCTTCCCCAAGGCTTCTGCAAATGGTATGCAACAGCAAAATAAACCCTGACCTACTTGCCAGGAGAGCGATGCCAACCTTCCCGCCAACACAAAGACAAGCATGGTAACTTGAAAGTCCTACCTCTTTGGCTTTCTGCTTTAATCTCAGCTGTTCTGGATCTTCTTTATTAGAACGACTCTATCAAAGGAAAAGAAAATTTTAATAGAAATGATGAGAATCTAAACACTACAGTCGCAGTTAAATATTTAATAAATGACAATTGCTCTTGTGATTGAAAACCCTAGCTCCAGGCCAATGCCTCAATCCAGTCTGGCTGCACACCCGCCCTCCCTCCCCCTCATCATCTGGGCCGGCTGCTGCAGTTCTAGCCTGGAGGAAGCTTATACTGAAAATGATGCTAACAATGTCAGTCAGGTCCAGTTGAGGCATGATGCTGTTCTTGTTGGAACACTGGAAACTAAAAAATGGATGGCACAGATGAAGAAAAAGAACTACTGGCTCAAATGAATGAAAACATAAAAACTGGTTTATCTTCAGGTAAAACCATTTGGGGAAAACATATGGTATTTCAAGGACTATTAAAATCAGGAACCTGACTAACCTTGAACCAAATCTCTGTCTTTAAAAACGTAATGCCAAAACGTAGGAAATGCATTCCAGTATTTTCATTAGAGTATTTATTCTTTGGGTCCCTTATAGCACTTGACAGAATGCTATGCACAGATAAATGTTTACATGTTTAGTCAATGTCACTTTTCATAATATAGTCATAGTAGAGGGCTGGCATGAGAAGACAGTTATCATTTATATATAAAGTATGATGGACAAAGGGGAAGGAACTTCATTTATGATACCATGACTATTAGGTCCACAGTAAAACATGCTTAGGAAAGTGTATCTTTTTTTTTTTATCCTAACGGATTTGCTTAACTCTGAGTATCTGTTCTATAAAATGCAACCCTGGCTAACTAAGTTAAAGGTAGATAATAAATAAAAACCGAAGTATTCTCCTATTTACTAAATGTACCCGACATTTTTATTGATAAATCAGTATCTCTGTTAAAGGAAAACTCAAGACATCGTCTATTTAGACTTAGTAGATCTTCTAATTTCTAACACTGAAATATAGATGCAAAATTTTACTCAAAGCTAGTAAATTTTTTTCTTCATTTTCATCCACAACCTACTAAACCAACTTTATTTCAACCCACACTAGGTCCAACACTATTGTTATCCTACCTACAATATTAGGAGATAATGAATATGTGAAGAGGTGTGTTTATACACAAATATGCATTATGTTATATAAGCATATGTGAATGAGAACGTACAATCTCTGCCTGAGTATAAAATGGGCATATTTACACATTATAAATCTTTGTCAGGCCTCTTGTATTACTGCTTCTCAGTAGAACAGACTTCATGTGCTATCGTTTTAGGCGTTGGAGAATCAGAGAACAAATAACTGGTCAAAGCCTCTGTTCTCAGGTAACTCACTACTTTTGGTACCAGGAATCGAACTCAGGACCTTGTGCTTGTCAGGCAGGTGCTGTGCCACTGAGCTATATCCCCACCTCAGGTAATTCACTTTTTAAGAATAGAAAAATAGTAAGTTTTACAAAAACTAAACACATTTATGAGATGTAAAACATTTTAGATGAGTAAAAATGAAAAACCAGTCATTGCTGGTACAAAATAATATAAAGAAACTACAACAGCACAATGTGATAGAAGAGAGAGCAGTACTTCTCCACCTAAGACAGTGGGAAAGCATTTCTGAGGAGCGACAGTTGTGTAGAGATCTGAATGAAAAGATGTTCGAGTCTATGAAGAACGTCCTAAACAGGAGGCATAGTAAATGCCTAAGATTTAAAATGAGAACATAGCTGTGGACAGAGAGAAGGCCCATGGGCTAAAAGCATAGGGAAACGAAGGAAAAAGAAGGCTGGAGGATCATGGGTTGCCCTGAAGGCCATGAAAAGGAGGTGGAGAGTTAATTCCAGTTATAATAAGCCATGGAGAGTTCACAGCATAGAAGTACACAAACACCGCGGTGCCTCTTTGGAAGGTGGTCCTGGCAGCTATGTAGCAGGGACATGGAACACATCCTATCCACTGAGGAGACTTTCTAAAGCAACTGCTGTGAACCAGTGATGGGCTGGGAGAAAGGAGAGAGGAGCTTGGACTAGCATCGTAGCAAAGATGATGACAAACATTCAAAATACACTTTGCAAGGAAAGCCAACCAGATTTATTGATAGATTGCATACAGGGTATAAAATAAACAGGAAACAAAAATGGCTCCTAGGAGCCTGGCCTTAGCAAGTGGGAGGGTGGTAATTCCAACTTCCTGAGATGAAGAGATCTACTCCAGAACAGAAAAAGGGGAACTGAACTCAATGATCAGTTTTAGATGCCTAATTACAAGTCTAACATCCTAAGGTGGGCATGAGCGTGGCACACTCAAGAAACAAAATCTAGTGCGACACCTGTAGAATGGAATGGCACAAGGAGTGACGCTAAGCAAACTCAGAGAGGGCAGAATGTGCCAGAAAAGATAAGGCCTTTTAAAATTTGCTAAGAAATTTGGATTTTAAGTGCAACAGGAAGCCACTAAAGGCTTTTTGTTATTAAAACAGTATTCAGACAATGGTATGATAAACAGATTGCAGAAGGGAAGGGATATCAGTGGGAATATATCAAAGTCCAAGTGAAAGATGTTTTAGCCTGGAATAGTGACACTGACGATGAACATGAGATAGATACAGTTTGAAAATGAAAAGGAAATGAACTGAATGAGGAGGAAGACATAACTTAAAGATGGCTCTTAAGTTTTTGGCTTGAACACTGATACAAATGATGGCCTCATTCACAGAGCCGGGAAAAGTTATGAGAGAAAAAGCAGAAGTACTTTTAGAAATATGTGAGATGCCTATCAGTCAATCAAGTGATGTCAAGTATGCAGTAAGCTCTATGAACCCAAAGTTCCAGAAGGCACACTGAACTGGAACTGTAATCTCAAGGAGAAGGGCTGAGCTAATCTGGGATATTTCAATGCTTGGAAGTCTGGTAGGGAGGGAAAGCCAAAACACTGAGAATAAGTATAATACTGCTATAAATAAAATATAAATGAATACCATTATAAATAAAATAGTACTTAATAGTTCATGAACTTGTTCACAGCCCAGTAATTGGAATGAAACACCAATAAACCACCTCATTAGAATAGCTGAGTGCTTGCCTATAATACACTCAAAAGAGGAACATCTTTCTGTCCCATCTCCCGGTCCCATCTTAGGCACAGGTCAGCACTGGGTTTGAAACTGGGGCAGCTGGAAGCTGCATAATATCAAGGCTATGGTGCCCACATCTTTGTGGGGGCTGAGGCAATTCATCACCAGGCCAATGGCCAAGAACACAGGGTGGTAAAGGACTAAGGAGCCCCACTGAGGCACGGGTCAGTAGTAGCATGATGGTCAAAAGCATGGACAATGTAGTGAGGATGGGGAAGTGTAGGGATGCTGATCAGTGAGCCGGCATGGGTGGTTGAAACATCAGTTACATTAATCAAATAAGGAAATTGATTTAGGATCTAAGTTTAATATATCAAGGATAATGGCAGCCAAGTTTCTGACCACTGGAAAACATATAAATGTGAAAAGATGAAGAGTAAAAAGGCTCCGGAGTTACTGGTTTGGAGTTGGAGCTATCCATATGAACTCATGATTTTATACCGTATACGTACAGGTACATGTTTATATACACGCATCTATACCACGTACAGCATTTCCTCTATCTGGCCATAAGCAATGAGCACAGTGTGAGCTCTAATACTGGTGTCTCACTATCACCCCCAACTAAAAAGAAGCAGGGTTCCTTGGTAAATGGCTGATTCCAGGGCTGGAGCAGGAACAATAAAAGCTTGGCCTGGAATATATGTGCCAGAAAGTAAGGACATGCCCAGTGAGTGATGAACAGATGACAAAGGACCGATGTGCCAGCTTGGAAGGTCTCCCACCTGGGAGCAATTTGGGCATCAAAATAAATAATAACAGTAATAGATTATAAATGATCTGGTCAAACAGAATCCATAATCTTCTACTGATATGAATAAAGGAAAAAAGGAAGCTCTTTCATATAGTAGTTGCTAATAAACAGAAAAGTTGACTGGACTACAGAATCAGCATCTGGGAACCATCACAGAAATGGCTGATTCAGGCAGACATCCCAACGGATGCTAAGGGTGATACATGAAACTTTAGTGAGGGACATCACCTTATGTTCCTATGACAAACTAAAAATCTACATAGGAGGAAACAGCTCATTTAGAATGGAGAAAACTAGTAGTCACCTACATGATGAGATCAAGGTTTCCCTCTGATATGATCAGCTGAGAAGAATATAGTGTCACTTTTGTGTGGTCCTGCCAAGGATGCATGATTTAAGCCACAAGGATACACCAGATGAATCCAGGCTGGGGGTCATCGCATATAGGGTAAAGCCAGTGCTCTTGAAAACTGTCAAGGGCATGAATGAACAAGAAAGTCTAAGAGTAAGTGAAAGAATCTGAGAAGAGATGACACTAAATGAAATATTCCTGAAAGGGAAAAGAAATGTGAAAAGAGACATGTTTGGGACAGCAGGTAAAAGCGGAATGGCAGCCTGTGCAACGGATGGTAGTATGACTGCTGCTTCCCGCCTGGGGAGTTACCAGGAGAAGGTCCTCGGCATATAGCAATGCTGAGGAGCAATGGGACGGCTTATCCAAAGAATGCTTTCAAAAGGTTCACACACAAAAAAACAATTAGTACCCACAGTTCTATAACTGCAAATATACTAAAAATTTCTAAATCAAGGAACAGAAGAAGGAAAGACCGAAGACAAGAAAGTATGTGACTTCACGCATGTGGGTGTGTGTAACAAGGCAGAGATAGAGAAAATGCAATAAAGTATTTCAAATGGGGGAATCTGGGAGCAGGAGCTAAGAATGTACACTTCTGGTTAGCTTCTCCTGGGAAAGAGGACTGAGAATGTATAGTTCCAATTAACTTTCTGCAAATATGAAATTATTTCAAAGTAAGTTAGTTTTCAAAAAAGCTATTGGTATGTGAGTAATAACAAATATTCTAGAAGGGGGAGGCTTCCAAGAACACTAAAAATTAGAACTAAAGTGCTTAAAACAAAAATTAAAGACTTTAGTGCTCTATCTTTAAGACTTCTTAGAAGGGCCATAAGCCTATGGAGAAGCACAGTGTTACAAAATGCAAACTAGTGGAATTAAGCTTTCCTTCCATCTGGCAGCAACAGTCCCGAGAAGTATTTAAATAAAGGAGAAAAGAAAGTAAACAGCCTCACTTGTTCTTCCTTTTAATCTCTAATCCATTTTTATCCTTTATATATTATGGTCCATGTAGTTCGATTTATACCTAATTCTACCCATAATCTTCCTGTCTGCATTCTAAATTTTTTCTTTTCTTTTCTTTGAGACAAGGTCTCCTCATGTTGTTCAAGCTGGCTTTGAACTCAGTTATGTACCTGAGGCTGGCCTTGAACTCATGGAGATCTTCCTGCCTCAGCCTCCCAAGTGCTCAGATGACAGGCATGTGCCACCATGTGCAGCTACTTTCTAAATTTTCTTCTCTCAATTTCACCTTGGCATATATCAAACAAGTCCCTAAAAAGACCCTGAAATTTTTACAGAACATTTTCACCAAGGGAAGGAGGCGGGTGGGTATGATGCCAGGCGCAGAGGAAATGAGAGTGAGGAGACAAAGATCATGACTCATTAAACTAAATTAACTGAAAGCCACTGCACCACACCATTCTGCCTGTGAGACATTCTGTGAGCAATTTCACTTTAAGAAATCCTCCAGAGAAATCTAAAGGCTTAGTCAAACCAAGACATTTGACCAATGACAATGCCAATTCTGACCTCATTGCCAGGCCACGCGCACTCATAAACTACACAGGCCCTTCTTACCTTGGCTGCCTTAAGTAACATTTCTCTTTCTTCTAAATCCTTCCTCTGCTTCTCCAGTTGATCCAGCTTTTCAAGAAATTTGAGCTGTGACTTAGTATCACTAGACAGGATGTAATTTTCACTTGCCTGGAAAAAAGAAGTCTTATGATGATCCTGGGTAACACATTCTGCATTCGGTATTGTTATAAACTAATGCCAGTGACACCAGCATATAAGGAGTTCAATTTTCAGGAGGCAATATTTTTACTTACGTTAAACAAGCTCTACAAAACAAATAAAAGCCAGATACCTGAATTATTCTTAAAACTTCACAAATGATTAAGCACTTATGTTTTAAAGAGGTTTCTACTAAATGTCATTCTGAGGTAGAGAAAAGGATATAAGCAGATTCAAACAAGAACGGAAGAGAGTATATGCCATTTACTTATAATTTAAACCTTTTTAATTAAATTATTTTCTATTTTGGCAGAACTTAATATGAATAATTAATTCTTGGGTCTGTGAAGACAAAGAGCAAGAAATAATCTTATTCAAAAATACACCAAACATGAAAATTATTCTGGTTAGCACTGTTGGATTGGTTTAACCTTGACAAATGAATATGACTTCTATCAAAATACAACAAAAGACAAGACGACAAGTATCAAAATCCTGAACCTCAGAGGAGTTCCTTAAGGTGTGAATTTAGATAGAAACTGTAGCCAAAGAAATGCAGTATATAATTTGTGAGTAAGTGCCATGATAGAAGTATAATTATGTATCTTAAGTGTTCCATAAAGTAAGATTCAAATTGTTCTGTTTGTTCTGATGTACCACAGTGTGAAACAGTGCTTTCCAATCTAAATATTTTCTAATCTTCTTTACTACAACCACTTCTCTGTCCTTAATAGTACATATACTGTGCGTAGTGTGTGCAGTTTGCTGGGAGAGCCAGGTTTGTGCGGGGGAGCCTGGGAACCTTCCCAATCAACATTTAGGACACGGGGCCACCTACTTAGCTTATAATTCAGGCATTCAAGGGGGGCTGGATGGCACAAAGACCGAAATATTCAACAGTGAGTGCCAGGCCTGGAGATCAGGGTATAACACACTCCCATCCCCTTCTCTGCTTTATCCCCATGCTTCTGGCTGATTCAATTAACCCAGAGATTTCATATGCCCAAGATTCTTTTTAAATTAAATTTTTATTATTGGTATTTAACTAGATCAAAAGAGTATTACATAGTTTAAGGAACAAGGATGTATTCGTGCTACTTATTTTACTTCATATTTAATACAAAAAGAATTCCTAAATGTTTTTTAAAGTTAAATAATATAAGACAGAATATGGAATACATTACAGGCCAAACATAGAGATTAAAGATAATAACAGTGGTTTCCTAAATACTTCGTCTTTACCAGTATTGTGCTCAGACACTCTGGAGATAGTTTACTAACAGGATTTAATTTAAAAGGGGAAACAAATACTAAATCAAAAAGGAGTGCAGACTTTCTAAATTTTAACCCTATCACATTCCCATGCTAAATTTCTCTTTTTCTTCCTACTCAGATACAACTGCCTCTGGCGTAATACATTCTTTCTTTTCAATTCCAGATACAAATGAGTACCTCCCCTAGTCCTATTGAGTCCCTAATTTTCTTTAAAAAACAGCCCAGTGTTCCTTCCTGTCTCAGAATATCCCATTAATGGAACTCTTCATGCACCAACAGAGTAGGGCTCTGCAATGTTAGGGCCACTACATATTAAATGGCTTAGTAATGAAAATATAATGATCTAGTCCTAATGGTATCAACACTATTGAGTGAATACCATCTAAAGGAAACACTATAATACCTTCCAACTGGAAAACAATGAAACTTCCCCCATGGCCACAGGCATACAGAAGACTGTAATATATCTTCAGTGGGAAAACACCTGGCAGCCAGATCAAAAGCTCTGTTTCACATGTCACTTTCCACTTCTTAAATCTCAGTTTATGGCCTATGATTAGAGAATTACACCTAGCCAGGTAAAACATTATCAAAAGAAAATGGATTTCAAAAGTGGAAAGAGGTGGTGGGATTTTGCTTTTAATAATAGTGGCTTGCATTTTCATGTAATTCATGGAATAGAATTTCAAAATATTGTATAGATAAAAATAAATCCTATCAAGTATAAGCTGAAATACAAAGTCAGAGCTACATCTGTAATCCAAAGATTATTACAATTAAAGCCTATAAAATAAGGGTGTTTTTGAACTAACTTCAAATATAATTAAATGATTACTATTTTTGTTTAAAGAAGGATGATGACAATCCTTTCTGCCCTTGTGTGTGTGTAAATTCAGTGTTCTTAGCTGTACACAGCAATGAGTGGGGAAAGGTGGGCAGGGGAAAGTTAGAGTAGGCAGTATAGAAGATAGGGTTAAGGAGGTATTAGGATTAAGCTAAATTACTGAGGTCTTCCAGGTGCCGTAGGTATTATCCATTTTGCCTAAGGGCAACTAAATCCTTGGAACACAAGCTACTGAAATAAAACAGAAGAACTATATCTAAAGCTATCCAGAATAGATCTTTAAACTGCACCCTCACTAAGCCCTCAGAAAAATTCTCTCCATACTAAATTGTACATATTATGTATTTGGCCTTTTGTTTTGATTTTTGTTGTTTTCACTGGTTTTTTTTTTTTTTTT